AGAGAGAGAGAGAGAGCATATACTATGCTCTTGTGGGAGCATATTGTACATCTGCTCCCTCGATCAGAGGACCTACTTGGGAGGATTTTTTCAATTTGAAAATTTGGGATCCATCTAGTAATCACTAGATGATTATTCTCAAAATAAAAAAATGAGTTTTTGAACACTTAGATTTCATCCTGGAAAAATTGGATGGTCTCTATTCAATCTTGAGAATTTTAATTTTTCTTTTTCAAATCTATAGATGGTGAAATTAGAATTTTTATTTATTTTTTAATTGAGGTTAGTCTATGGGTTGTAGAGGTTACATCCCCACATTTTGGGGTCCTAAAATTAATCTTATATGGGGTTTTAACTGAGGGAGTAAATGGACAATATACTCCCGCGGGAGCATAATATCTTTTGGTGTGTGTGCGTGTGCGTGTAGACGGTCCTTTACTCTGGTATGTGGAATTGTATAGAATGGATGCACCAGATTGACTTTGGGTTTCTGGATGGCTGACTTTGTTGATACATTTTTTCTTTAAATTTTTGTACGTGTGGTGAACCCCTAAATTTTGACGCATGTGCACTTTATCATATAAACATAAAATAATAATATGCACAAGGCCAAAATATGTGTCCCATTGTGCAGAAAAAAAAAATATGGACCTGGCCAGCTCCTAGTTCATGTGATGGTTGGTGTTGACCTGAAGTGTTTACCACTCTATTTATCAATTCTATTATTCATGCTTGATTGTGTTTGTGCCTCTTTCTCAGGTTATACAAGGCTTGGCTTCTCAGCATGACAAGAAGCGTATATTTTACTCTGATCTAAAAAATGACAATTTACTGGATTGCATCGTCTCCAAAATCAAGATTGTACAAGTAACACCAAATGTATGGATCTGTATAAAGTATCATAACTTAAGATTATCTCTCACGCATGAAAAAGTTTTTAGATGTTGGTGATTCCTTTTTTGACTTTAACTTCAAGAGTTCAGGGCTCATCTTTGTAATCTTGATCTTGGCATTTCGTTTTCATTCCTTTTGGGTGTATTAAAAGTATATTGATCTTGTATCAGGTAAATTTGGCCAAAAGGAAGTCCATTCCACCTTGTGATTTTTATTATGATATGAGCTACTCCATACCATATTCAACATTTTCTAATATACTATCTGGTAAGTTAGAATGTAATTTACTGTTTGTTTTTTAGATAACGTGATAAAAGTTGATGGTACTGTTTCACTATCAATTGTCTTCTCTTTCCTTTTGTGGCCATGCTTTTTTGTTAAATATATTGATGGAGAAATTTTGGCATCAATGAATATGTATCTATATTTTAAAGTGAAGTATTAGTACAAACATGGATTGATTTTTATATGCATGTGTTATGCATGCAAAAACCTGGCCAGTCATGTACACAAACAAGATTGCAGTACATCCAATGAAAAATTTGTGCCTGCATGCATAAATGCTTAGGCACACACTTCCACATGTATATACACATGCATATATATATATATATATATATATATATTATTTGATAATTAACTCTTTTACTCATTAATAGTATAACTGGCTCAATTGTTATGCATAGAGAAGCAACAACGATGAGATTGGCTTCACATAGGCCCATATTTGAGATCAAGTATTTTGCCACTAAATCCAATAGTATACACATGATGGCTTGAGATATCCAAGAAAATGGCATTCTTAAATTTCATGTAGGACAGCTGCCATCCTCATGGGGTCATGGACATTCTTCTAGAAATTTTTTTAACTTGTGTTGGGTTCCCTTTTTAATGGATGAAAGGCTTGTGAAGCCAATGACTTGTGTCCATTGAGGAGAACTTCATTACGTAATTTTCTATTTTTTTAACAGATTCTAGTGGAGTGTACGAGCATAATAACATTTGGGAAAATGGAAAATGATATAAAAAATTGGAAATATCTTTTTGTTGAGTAAGCATCGGAAATATCTTTTCTCTTGAGAGTTTGGCATCAAGATGGTGTTTGTGGAATCATATAGAAAAAAGGACTACAAAACTGGAAAAATAAAATTCTTTTGCTTATGCCTCTTTTCGATGTTTTAGAGAGAGGTGGTTAGAAAAATATGGGGAGGATGTGCCATTGCGAAAATGAGGAGGGAACTAAAGGGAATAAGGAGGGGACAACTAACACAAATTAAGAGTGCCTCGATTTTAAAAATTGAGAGGGACGTTTTCAAGAAGATATCAGTAGGAGGGTGGTGGGGAAAATGAAGATAGGCCTAAAGGGTAAGTGATAGAAAGACAAGATTATAAAAATGGTATCCCTTACTATGTGGTGGGTATCTTATGAAGATGGACTGAACAATTTTAGGATCTAATTTTGTCCTATTTTGATGGGGTATTAGGACATGGGCATGCATCCCCATACTCTGAGGTGATCAAGGGATGCAGCACAACTAGTGAAAATCTCATAAGAAGTTAGTGGGACAACTTTTGTGGGAGTCCGATTAAGGATATAGTTTGTTAGCAGAATAACTTCTCCCCAAAAATCGAGGGAGAGCTTAGCATGTCTCATCATACTCCTCACCATTTCCATTACGGTCCTATTCCGACTCTCAGTTACCCTTTTGTTGAGTGTGCGGTATAGTATACTGATATATAATACCATGCTTAATACATAATTCTTTAAATAGTCGTGCGGAATATTCTCCACCCCTTATTAGATCTAAGGACTTTAATTTTCTGGTTTGTTTGGGTTTCTACCTCGGCGTTATACTCTTTGAACTAGTTTAGGGCTTTGGACTTTTCACTTATAGATAGACATGGCCAAATGGGGGTGATCATCTATAAAGGTGATAAAGTACTTCTTACGGCCCTTACTGGTCCCATTCATAAGTCCACAAATATCACTATGGACAACCTGTAATATGTTAGTAGCTTTCTGAGCTTCTACAAAGAATTTGTTAACCAGCTTTCTTTGAACACATGATTCACAGACTCTGGTTAAATCTCCATTTAGATTACTTAATAATGCCTCTCTCTTTAATCTCTCCATCCTTTTAGGATTTATGTGCCCTAGTCTCTCATGTGGTATATCTACGCATCATCATTGTTATCATTATAACATGAGACATAGGAATGAAATCCTTTATTGCCATTGAAAATAAACCATCTAGAAGATGACCATTCATGATCTCCATATTTCACCTCTACCTTATTACCAGAAAAAATAGTAGAGTCACTAGCCTTAGCCAATTTAGCGACCAAAACTAAACTCATCCTCATCTCAGGAGCATAAAGAATTTGCTTTAGGACCATGCTTTTGCTATTCTCAAGTTGAAGGATGAAATCTCCAATACCTAGAATTTCAGTCTTTTGATTCCTACCCATATAGATATACTGTTCCCTAGGGGCAACAAGCTTGAAATTTCTATATCTATCCTTGGCGTTTGATGCATGGGCAGTGCACCTTGAGTCAAAACAATATGACCTTACTTTAGGGTCAGCTAGCATGGTCTCAAGGACCACAAGCATGCTCCCTATTGCCCTTAGGATTTGCATTCTTGGGTGTTTTGCAATACTTAGCAATGTGCCCAAATTTCTTGCAGTTATAACACTGGATATTCTTAAAATCCTTTTTCTTCTTAGACCCCTTTTGCCCTTTTTGATTCTCATTCATTTTGTTCTTGTTCTTTCTTTGCCTTTCTTCTTCTTGAGTGAACTAGAGTCAGGTTTAAGGTTTACTAGATTTACAGAGTCATTCAAGGCTGAAGTATTGCGAGATAATCTCCTTTCTTCCTCGGCTTTAAGTTTGGTGATGATCTCGTCCAACTTTGGCATGCTCTCCCTTGCAGTAAGGCCTCAAATGAAGTTCCCATGAGCTTAGCTTAGAATTAGCCACCGGAAGATTTGTATATTTTCATTCTGCTTAACTTGTGCAGCCTCGAGTTCACAAACTAAAACTCTAAATTGCTGTATATGCTCAGTTAATTTTCCTCCTTCCTTCATCTTAAATCTGGGTATTGTTTCATAGCCATTATCTTTTTAGTGAGAGAAGGTGATGCATAATCAGTCTCAAATCGTTCATGAATCTCCTTTGCAGTCTTTAGGTGCTTACACTCAAGAGTATGGGTGTCATCCATGGCCATATGTAGCACATGCTTTGCTAGAGTGTTTTTACTCTCCTACTGAGCATAAGCATCTCTTACGGCTTGCCTTTCATAAGCATTTCCACTTGGAACAGGTGGCAGGTCATCAGTAAGCATTTGGCTAATTCCTACAAAGAGGACATAACCTATTTTTCCTTTCCAACTAGTATAATTCTTCCCATCAAAACTTTTAAACTTAATATAGGAAACCTTTTGAAATCATGTTTTTTGGACCCAAAAAAAAAAAAATGGCATAAAAAAAATAGAGGCTTTGACACCAATGAAAGGTGTGGCTATGTAGAACTCAAGGTATTAAATTAAAAAAAAAATTTCTTTTACTTTTTTTCAAATAACTGAATTTCACTTACATAGACCACAATATGTTACTCTAAATTAAAATAGTGCCCTAGATACAACCTAGAATCTTTATTTTTGCTGCTAAGAGAAATAGAAACTATCCAGGATATTTAAACTAACTTCTACTATGTTTTTTAGCGCAAAATACGTTCATGAAAATTTACCCGAAAATAGGAAATAGCATTAAAAATTAATTAAAACTGCTAGGAAGGCTTACTGGAAGATGCTTGGAGTTACTCTATTAGGTCTTGGTACACCCGACACTTGATTCCCTGACCAATGACGCAATTTTACTCCTTAAGGTATTGTTGAAAATTCTGAGATAAGGAAGCTTTATAGACAATACTTTTTTTTGGGGGTTTTAGAGAGCTCAAAAATAAACTAAGGTTTCTACAAACCTTATAGGAATAAATTAGAGTTGAATCTGTGGGTTGATCTCTCTCTAAGCTAGGCTTTTCTCTTCTTTCTTCAAAATACAACAAACGCTTGCTCTAGTGTTTCTCTATAACACTACCTATACTTTTCTTTAAGACAAAATATAGAAGAGAGAGAGAGTTGGCGTGCCTCCCTATGGTTAAGAGAGGGTGGCGTTTAAAAAATAAAGGGAGAGAATTTTGGGTATAAGAGAGAAAGAGAGGATCTATTGGGGCATGAGAGAGAGAGAGGATCTAGTAGTTTTAAAAGGTTCAAACTTTTATAGAAAGAATTCTATATCCTAATTTAATAGGATTCCTTCTAAGTATTGTCTTATTCAGTTTCTAGCTAGACAGTTAGGATAAATAAGAATCTATGGGTTGAGAGAGATTTAATCAAAGCCATCCATCCAAAAAATCAGCCATCATACTTTTTGATGGAAAGATAGAAACCTTATCCTTTTATACTTTGACCCAATCCAACTCCTATTTAAATTTGAAAATACAATCAAATTTAAACACTATCTAGATCTCTCAAGATCTGAATTTTAAATAAATCCCATTAGAAAAGCAAATCAAATCTTATTTAAAATAAAAGCTTTCCTATATTATCTTATTCAAATTTTGAACACATCAAGAAAGTGGGGTGTGCCCCTACTTCCTAAAAGAATGGCATGGAGCCTTATATTTAGAAATTTTGGGTGTGCCACCTTTTAGCTAAAAAGGTGGCGTGCACCCCCTTCTTGCATGAAAGTGTCTTGCTCCCCTATTTTGCATAAAAGGTGGTGTGGTCCCCCTTTTCCTTAAAAGGTGGTATGGCCAAAATTGTTTTAAAAAAATGGGGCGTGGCCCACTGGGTGGGGCCACATGGTCCCCACACTTTAAAAACAAAACACATACATGTGGGGCTGGATCCTTAGTCCCACATGTATTATTTTAAGTTCTGAAATTTCAGAAATACTTTTTTAATAAAAATTACAAACAGAAATAATATTTTAACATTCTAAAAAAATATTTCGAAATCAAAGAAACTTTTTTAATACCAAAATAAAATATGCTAGGAGGGGACTGGTACCATTGAGTCAAAATAAGAGACATTAAGGGCACTTTATTCGCCCCAGAAACCATGATGCAGTACTATTTTCTTATCCGATAAACAAAGATCCATGACCCATAGTCTCATTTCTAGGGCTCATGATTGGCTTGTCAAAGTTGGACAATAAATGATGGGACCATGATCCTAGAATGTGGATTTCAATCCCCCTTTTAA